AGACACAGAATTTACAGCAAAGTCAGCAAACTGCTTGTAAGCAATWAAAATTAATCCAGTGACCTTTAAGCAGAATAAAATACAAACAACTGACTGATACAGATTTTTTTTTAAAATATTATTTCTTGTAACTAGCTAATTTGTTCACATGCCCTCTACAAAACCACACTTGATTCTGTACTTTGAGCCATGTAATACCATKGTCTGAGGGAAAACCATAAACATTTGTGTTCTGGGAGAGAAGGTTATGAAAAATCTGTGTTTGTACTTATAAAGCTGAGTCATTGCAGTTTCCTGCTATTAAGTTTCAGCAGAATAAAGTTCTCGGCTCACCCTGAGCAGTCACCTAGGGGTGTTTTTGTGTCAAGTAACACAAGTCACCCTAATAAAGGAGAGTGACTCCCAGTGTTCCCTCYCCCAGTCTCGGTCAGTGTGTGGGGCCAGCTTGGCCCCAGCAAACACACAAAGAAATTCACATCCTCTTCAGGACAGCATCTCCACATGTCCTGGGAAACAGCTAAGACATGCCATGCTTTGGATGTGACAGAAAAGAAAAAAGGAGGAATAATACAGACACTTTTAACTGCTCAGTCTCAGGCTATTATTTAACTGCCCCGAGGTTTGATTGTTATTTTTACCCCTTCCACACGTTGTTGTATAAGTTGTTTGGAGAAAAGAGGCTAYGCGTGGCTTACATAAAGCGTTCTGTTCCCTATTTTGTAGCTGAAAGCTACTCAAGAGAAAGTGCTCACCTTAAAATGGGGCAAAAATATCAAGTGTGGCCTACTCAAAAGCAGCGCCTTACATAAACTGGGATCCTGCTCTGCCAAGACTCGAGGCAAACTGTGCTACAAACACCAGTCACTGTCACATATTAAAGGTTCAGTGAAGAGCCCAATCATCACCTTTGAATAAGAAGCAAGTATAATAAATGAGGTCTAAAATCTGTGTTAATGATCTGGCAGCACTTTACGTTTTCAGGAATTAACCAAGTGCCAGGTGACATGACGCTGACCGAGGATGAGGAACACGACGGGCAGAAATATTGCTGAGAGACTGATCTGATTTTCTGATCTACTGCCAAAAATGTCTGCAGTGAATGTCTTGCAATTGCACTAAAATACTAAATAAAATGCAAATAAGGTACAGTAGCTCTGTTTCTAGTGAGTCAGTTCAAAAAAATTAAAATGTCCTAATTAATATTCTCATGTAAAGAGAGTTTGTATTTAATAGCTGTTTAGCTATTAGGCTTGTTAAAACAGTTTTGTGGAACTATTTAAATGTTTAACTCATTAAGCTTTCTAACAGCCATCTTCAACTTTCTGTGGTTCCTGAGTCTCTGAAACATTTTGAGTTAGTGTGGCTGACTCACTTCTGAAATCCCCTTAACATCTGAGTGTCCGCTGATGATGCAAACCTGGAGGAGGGAGCTCCCAGCTTCAAAACTGGGGCAAGACAGTGTTTTAGCAGGACAAAACATGATATTTAACCTTCCTGGGAATAAATTCTTAGGAAATTTTCTCAGTATTAGTTGTGGCATACAAATAAAATAAGCATGCAGAAGTGCTGATGGTTTTCTCAAGACAGCAACAGCATCTAACTCCTGATTTTTAGCTCTCCCTGCTGTGTTTTATTTCATTTAGGCCAGAAAGGGTTTRGAATTCCTTCTGYTCAAYGCAAATTCTGCAAGACCAACTGAAYCCAGCATGATGGAGATACACRTATATATTTTTATATATGTATATATAATTGCAATAGTTACAGTGGGATTACATAGAACACAAAACCCTAAAGTGAAAAGTTGGATTTCCAAGGGAAAAATGTAGCTTATGGTTAAGTTTGTATTGAAACTGTCAGAGAAGCACAATTGGATTTCTTCAGCAGCATCCCTGGCTGGGAGCCAGGATTCCCTGGCCTGTTCCCTAGAATATTCGGTCAGAACCATGCGCCCACTCCTCCCATGTGCTCTGACCCTTGGGCTCAGCACGGGCAACATGCTGAGCTGCCCACTCCCACACAGCCAAGGAGCTTCCACGTCAGATGGGAAATGTGTTGGGAGCTTCCAATTATAAAAGTTGTCACGAATGGAGTTCAGGACTGCATCTGAGGAACCATCCTTAAGATTATACTTTGGAGTTTAGACAAGTAAATTCTGCCTACAGCTCTGAAAGCTATGAAGGAAACACATCTTTGTTTTCTGAAGGAAACACATCTGCTTGTTTTCTGTTTGGTGGTTTGTTTTTTTACAGCTCTACCCAGCTAGRTGAGTTGTTAATTTTCCACATTACMTTACATTCATAAGTGTTCAAATGGRTTTGCCTCACAGTGTTTTGTRAGGATTTACTTCCTCAGGTTCTTAGAATCACAGAATCATTTAGCTTGGAAAAGACCCTTGAAATCATCCAGCCCAAGTGTTAYTTCRGCAGCCAAATCCACCASTAAACCATGKCTTGAAGTGCCACATCCACACTTGTTTTAAATAYCWCCAGGGATGGTGACTCCACCACTTTTCTCCGCCACTGTTCCAATGCWTGACAACCCTTCAGTGAAGAATTTTTTCCTAATATTTAATCTAAACCTTCTCTTGCACAATTYGAGGCTGCTTCCYCTCATCCTATTGCTTGTTRYTTGGGAGAAGAGACTGATACCAACCACCTTTCCATGTGTATTTAGTCACATTTTCTTATTYACTTTTAGCAAAAGATGTTTTTATMTTAAAAKTTTGCCTCCAGATCTGAAAAAACRGATCACTTGTCRTCAGCTCTAAAGACATAAATTTTAACAACTTAGATATTGACACTAGAACCAATGATGAGAGAACATAATATCCTTCGCAAAATATTGCATCTAATTTTGCCAGCTCCACAGGATCCCCATTACTAATAACAGACAGGTGAAAGGCCCCAGAAGAGTGGAAGAAGAGCACCTGCAGAAGGAGCTTCCTCCACACATCACTGACCATGTAGCTCCAGCCTCACTGACGACCACTAACTGCTGCACTGCGAGTTCCCTTATGCCTGAGGGAATATCCTGAGTTGGAAGGGAGCCACAAGGATCATCAAAGTCCAACTCTTGGCCCTGTACAGGACACTCCAGCAATCCCACACTGCCTGAGAGCAATGTCCTTGATGCTGTGATCATTCCCCACCACTCTCTTGAGTAAGAACTGTTCCCTGATATCCACCCTACCCTTCCCTGACACAGCCCCAGCTGTTCCCTGTGTCCTGTCCCTGGTCACCACAGAGCAGAGATCAGGGCCTGCCCCTCCTCTTCCCCTCCTGAGGGAGCTGCAGAACTGCTGGGAGCTCTGCCCTCAGTCTCCTCCAGCTGAACAGACCAAGTGCCCTCAGCTGCTCCTTGTGGGGCTTCACCTCCCAACTCTTCCCATCTCCATGTTCCTCCTTCAGACACTCTCTARCAGCTTYAKATCTTTCTCAGGGTGTGAACCAGAGCACCATGATGAGGAGATTCACTTCAGAAGCACGCTCCTTGTATTACCAAAAACGAGCTATAGCCTCAGAACTTCATGTAACACAGGTTCTGCTAACGCAATTCAATACACTTGTGAAAATTAACCCTATTTTATGCTGCTTTTCACTGAKAGTGACTGCTCACTAACCACACATAGAGGCCTCTGCCAGCCAAAACCATTCCAAGATCCTGACGGTTCCTCAGACAAAGTGTCCTCCCTACAGCACCCAGAGAAAGGAACATCAGCCCTGCCCAGCCTGGGGATGCAGGCAGGGTGCCAGCCTGAGTGTTGCAAAATGGGGAATATGTCAAGATTATCTYAAAGCAAGAAATTCTTTCATATAARATCTCTRTATACTTCCAACACTGACCAGCAACAGAGAAGATCTAACCATTGGAAGAGGCAGCTGCCAGCATCTCTTATCAAGGACATCCTGGAACTTAAAGTGTTTTAAGGACACAGTAAATYGGTGTTGATGTATATCTGTGTATACATTGCTAACTTGGCAAAATACTCCAGGTCCATGTGTTCTATGGCTGAACTATGCTCACTGYGGCACAAAAAGAGACCCTGCCCAGGTGAAGACATGCATAGGAGCCAGCTGCATGGCAAACTTACACGGAAAATCCTGAAGAATCCTAATAGAGGAGCTGTGCTTGGAAACTTACTACCTCTGAATTTCTGTGTATAAACGATGGCATGAAAAGTCTGGTGGYAGTGCTTGATTGGTAATGCTTTGTGGTATTACCACGGAGCGCCCAGACTTAAGCAGCTCTGGAATTAGGCATCCATGTGTCTCTCCAGTAATTCGCTTTTTTGCAATGTAACCGTAACCACTGGCTCGCTGGAGGCCGGGATCGAATCCGACCGCGTGGGGCACCGTGTGGGGCACCCTGAGGGGCACCGTGAGGGGCCCGCCGCAGCACCGCCATCACCGCACACGGACCGCGCTCCCCAGCACTAGCCGCCCCAAATCTCGCGAGAGGCGCCGCGGGGCAGTGGGCGGGTGGGAGGGAGGGAACATGGCGGGGCGGGGGCGCTGAGGCGGCGCTGACGGGGGGCTGGCGGGGCAGCCCGTGATCCCTCCCCGGCGCCGGCGGCTCCTCCTCGGCTCACCTCAGCTCACCCCCTGCATGCCGGCGGTGCCGGGGGCGCTGTGGAGCGGGGCACGGGGCTGCCCGCCATGGCCGAAGCAGGAGCGGGAAGCACCGAGGGCGCCGAGGAGGAGCGGCGGGCGGCGGAAGGTGGGAGCGCGTCCGCCCGAAGGGCGAGCGGGCGGGCGGGCGGTGTGTGCCCCGCGTCCCTCTCTCCTCTCGCGCGTTGCTCCGTGCGTGGGGGGCGTTCATGGGTGCCGAGTGTGGGGTGTGTCTGCCTGTCTGTTTGTCTGTCTGTCTGTCCGTCCGCCCGCTCGCCGTGCCGCCTCGGTGATGTGGCACGGGCGGGTGTTGTTGTGGGGCTGGTGCCCGTGGGTCACCGCCGTCTTTCCGTGAGGGCGCTCGGGACTGGTCCTGTGCCCGGTGCCTCTCCGGGGCCGGTCGGGTTTATGTCTAATTCCCGCTGGGCGCTCCTCGCTGGCTGCTCCCGCTCAGTGGAGTTCAGTGGAGGTATCTGGAGCGCTCACAGGGAAACCACAGATTTACGGAATGGGGTTRGAAGGGATCTCTRGAGATCGTCCAGTCYACCCCACTGCCAAGRCAGGGTCACCTGGAGCAGGTGACACAGGACCGCATCCAGGTGGGTTTGGAATGTCCCCAGRGARGGAGACTCCAGGCCCTCCCTGGGCAGCAGCTCCAGGGCTCTGCCACCCTCAGTGTACAGAAGTTCTTCCTCAAGCTGAGGTGAAACTTCTTGTGTTTTAGTTTGTGGTCAGTGCTTCTTGTCGTGTCACTGGGCAGCAGTGCAAAGAGCCTGGCACCATGCTCTTGGCACCCGCCTGTGTAATGGTCACTCTGTGCTGTGTTGCTGTTACAGATGTGTCACCATGCTGATGTGATGTGCACTAAAAATCTCAGTTTGGTTTTTTTTTTTTTTTTTTTTTTTTTTAACTTAGTATGTAGTTCACTGTGATACACACTTAGCCTTGCATTCCTAAAACTCTAGTATGATTTTTTTTTGTAGGTTAACATAATTTAGTATTTTAGGTATAGTGATTCTGCCTTTTCTCTATGTGTGTGTGTGTGCCCACGCTTTCATGGCACCAAGGTTTGATCTTTCCTTGTTTTTAATCATAAGTTTCTGGTACTAAATCAAGGCTGGTTGTAAACCACCAGCTGCTGCTCGTGTTCCTGCTTGGAAASGAGTATGGTGCTTCCCCTCTCCGAGGAGAAGGGGTGTGGGGACACAGAAATGATCCAGTCCCTCCTAAGCCATCACTGCAGTTCTGTGTAGGTAGCAGCAATTCTTCTAGGTTTAGTAGTTGTTTTCTAAATGTCTCGTGGATTATGTGTGTTTTAATCTATCCGGGGATCCTGTTTGTCTCAAATTCTTGATATATTTATGTCTGTGCTGCTTAATTGTTTAAATATTGTCATAAAATTTTGTGGCAAATAATGTAGCGTTTGAAAATAAAGCGTTTTTGTTGTTTTTTGGTTTTTTTAGTGTTTTTGCAGTCTGCTAAACTGTGCTTAATGCTAAGATTTAGTGTTTCTATCTTGTGCATATACTGTCAGGAAAGGAAATCATCAAAACAAAGAAACCTCCAAATACAGAGACATTTCCATTAACAAATAGATTTGGGAAATCAATAAGCTGTTGTCTTTCATTTTTTATTGTGAGATAAACCCCTCTTCCTGCATTCTTTTGCTACTTATGTTYGTATCTGTTCTTTTAGTGGATTTTTAAAAAACAACTTCTTTCTTTTAAAATAGAAGTATCTCAATCGTTTGTGAATAGGGCCACATTAAAGTTAACTGCTTAATAGTTTTTTTTTTGTTTTGTTTTTTTTTTTTGTTTGTTTGTTTGTTTTTTACTTGGGTATACACCTTTTTGTTGGTACATTTATACATTATGAAAAACAAACTCTAAACTGGACAGTTCACATCCAAGAATCAAGTTCATTGTATGAAGAAATAATTTGGTGGGTGATTTTGGAAGTGAATCATTGTGAACTATTGAAAATTCCTTGTTTGGACAGCTAAAACCATGGAAGTTCTGCAGCTGACTTGATGGGATTCAGCATTTTGCATTCATATGATTCCAAAACTTGCAAGAAGACAACTGCCCACCGTTCCTCTAGGAGCATATAATTGGAGAGGATTTGTGGTTTGTTTTTTGTTTGGAGTTTTTTTTTCAGTAATGAACTATGATATATGAGACTCCCTATTTCTCTCAGTGCTTTCTACCTGGTGTGAACCTAAAAGTGCATGGGAAAGCAGGGCACCCTTTCAAGGGCTTGGGGAGTATCTTTTAATGATCTGCTTCCTGCCTTATTATACTTTCTAATGCAATAATTGCTTTGGCCAAATATTTGGTGTTTGAAATTTGTTAAGTAAATGTGTTATTTAACTGGWAAGTTGTGATTCTTGACTGCTTCTCTTTCAAGTGATGAAAAGAAGTAAAAGTAGAAGCAGAGAGTAATCAGTTTGCTGTGTTATTTTTGATTTAAATGTCTACAATTCAGAGTATTATAATTTGCCTTTTTCATTATGTGATATTAAAGCCAAATTGAACATTTATTCTCTGTATAACGTTGTTCATAAGATGGTTTCATTACTGACTTCTCCATATCYTGTTCCTGCATTAGACATGCATATAAAATTTGGGGAAAGAATAAGCTGCTTTAGTCCATACAGTTCTACTGTTTTCAGAACTTCGCTCCAAAGATGWTTGTTGTCCCAGCTTTCTATGAGTGATATTGTAGGCAGTGATCTTGATGTCAGACGTACTGTAAGTGGTCTGGAAATATTTTTCATGACCTATTTTAAAGGTCTAAAATAAATAAATGCAAAGAAATATTTAATACAATTTTCATCCATGTGTAGAAAATATGGTTCTTAGTATTGTAGGTGTTTAAAATGTGCAAGACCTTAAAGTGATATCTCAGCACCTATAACTTTCTTTCTCATGCAGTACTGTATGTATGTAGGCTATAAGTGTAGTTTTCACATTCTCTAGTGAATATCTTCAACAAGAATTCATTGAAATTTTAGAAAAGTAACTTCATAAAAAAATAAAGCAATTTACATGACACAGAATTATTTGACTCAATGGCCGTTCTGTCAGTGTGCTGTATGTGTAGATAGATGTATCTGTRATTGCTTAGGTCATCAGAAACACAGAAACATGGAATGATTTGGGTTGGAAAGGGCCTTAAAGCCCATCCAGTTTCAACCTCCTGCCATGGGCAGGGACACCTTCCACCAGACCAGGTCCCTCAGAGCCCCATCCAACAGAGCCTTGGACACTGCCAGGGATGGAACAGCCACAGGTTCTCTGGGAAACCTGTGCCAGGGCCTCACCACCTTGACAAGGAATAATTTCTTCTAGTATCCAATCTAATGATCCTCTCTGTCAGTGTGAAGCCATTCCCTCTTGTCCTGTCACTCCAGGCTCTTGTCAAGAGTCTCTCTCCATCTTTCCTGTGGGCTCCCTTCAGACACTGGAAGGAGTGTCACTGGAATGAGGTCAACCCAAAGGCTTCTCTTCTCCAGGCTGAACAATTCCAATTCTTCCAGCCTTTCTTCACAGCAAAGCTGTTCCATGCCTCCATCTCGCATCTTAAAAAGAAACACAAACAAACCAACTCAAAAAAAAAAATACATTGATTGTGACAGAACTTTACAATCTAACTTGACATGTTGAGAAAAGTTTAGAAAACACCTCAGTTTAGCAAATTTAGGTTACTGGTTTGCCCAACTTTGGGATTCGTGTGTGTCAACTGAATCCCATCGTCCCCACTTACTGCTCCCTGACGGGATTTGCAGAGCAGTTTTGGTATAAATGAACTGGATTTCTCTTTGGAAAAAACTAAAGTAGAATTTTTTTTGTGGCGAGGTTAATGCTTCTGTAAGCACACCCCACACACCCACAGAGGGTTCAATCCAGGAGCTTGTTCTGAGACAGCTTTAACACTCATGCATTGTAAGGGCTTTTGGCCCAGTGACCCAGAGTAAYGTGATTTAGTGTCTGCTCCCTGAAGTGCGTTCCTGTTAGAAGCAGGGATTCTGCAGCAGCTGCTTCTCTCTGCTTGGTGCTGTTCTATCATTGATTCTCCCCTGCAGCCTCAGCCCCGCATCTCGGGGAGTGCAATGCAGTGTCATTAACTCCTTTGGCTGGGCTGCACAGCCCTCAGGTGCCACCTCACAGTCACTTCTACCAGAATTTGGAGTTCTTTAAACTTGGCAAAGCTCAAATTCCCAGCTGAAAGGTTTTGTGGATACCAGGAGCATACCTTTGGAAAAGACATGTTTTAATAGTCTGTGGTATCTATGATCATAGAAATCTGAATTCAAAGCAACCTCTTTCTTCTCCTTTCCTTTGGAAGTGTTTCAAAAATAGGAAGCTGGATTAAAAGTTCCTTATTTTTGGAAGGGTTGTGGCGGTGTTAACATATTATTGATTTAGGCAGCTGCAGAGCTKCTACATTTCTCCAAGTCTCACTTATTCCCAGACTATGAGAAGTGTCTCCATAAGCTCTATAAATGTACTTTTTCAGTATTTTATTTCAAGCCCATTTTACTGTAATATCCTGATAGCTGAATTTGGATGTTCTTTTTTAAACTGGCTAAATGAGGGCTGACTGGCAGCTCTTTAAATAAATTAATTTATTAATAATACAGGACTTGTATATTTCTGCTGATTTTTGGAGTGCTAATATGTATCTTGTAGTTAGGCAGAAAAACTGATCTTGCTGGGGATGAGTGGTCTTGAGGTAGTACATAATTAGGGCAATAATTTTGAAAGACAGTCTTAGGCTGGAWCTTGTTGCATGTGATGCAAACAGGTGCTGTCTGTGGCTGTTACGTTTTAAGAATTGCATGATATTTCTGTACTTGGGGTGGGTTTCATCTCACTTCTCTTTAGATGTCTGCAGAGTACATATCCAAGTCTGAGCTAGTTGCTTTGGTCCTTGTGTAATTACTGACTAGAGACAGGCACTCTTGAGCAGTATCTCATCTAACCAACTGTAGGAATCTATTTTAGATTGAGATGAATCACCCTAGAACTGTTTTATTTCATCTAGCCAAATGTAGGAATCTATTTTGGGGAGAGATGAATCACCCTAGAAATGTCTTCTTCCCTCCAAGAGGGACCAGAATGGCTACTTCAAATGTGGACATCATTTTTGGTTCAGATAAATCTCCACTTTTACATCTGGTGGAGTTTGGCCATAAACCTTTTCTAATAAGTTGTGTTTGCTTAGGAATTGAAAACCTTAAAACTGTTGGTGGAGAAAACAGCTCAGGAATGTAGCATGGGATTAAAAAATATTATTGTCAGTAATTGGAAAAATGTGAAGTCTCTCCCAAGCCTTGTTTCTCAATGCATTGCATGGGATTGACACAGAAACTTTGCTGACACAGGAATATGGTTGATTTTGTTTGTCTTTATATCTGCTGCCAAACAGTAATTTCATGCTCCCTTGCAGTTGTTCCTTTCTTTGCCAACCCCATAGGGGCTCTGATTATTATTTCTTTTCCATATAGAAAAACACAAGAATAGAGGATGCTCTTGTGCACTGATGTGATGAGAAATATATATTKATATCCATTATTTGCCCAATTGTGAAATACAGAGTGTTGAACYAATTAGTGTTGAACTAAAAAAAAAATTAGTGTTGAACTAGTAGTTTTATTTCTGATACACTTACTGGAAAYGAGCTATTTTCCATGCCATATTTGTACTGTTTGGATGGTCTTTGCTTTTTCACAGAGAGAATGATTCAAGTGGGGGGGATTCCTGTATTATTCTCATCATTTTACTCTGTCCAAATGTGCATAATATACTTTAAAAATATTTTTGATTTTTAATATCGGTAAGCATATAGGCTTAATACTGAGAGACAGACATAGATCATAATAGACACGTATCTGAGGAACTATTCACTTGCTATTAACATCTGGTTATCAGTATTCCAGGGCATTAGCAATGGAATGAACAGTAATAAAAGTGTTATTTCTCACCTGGAATTTTATTTGGTTTGCAAACCAGACTGCTGTAAATAATACCCTTTAAGGTGGTAAAACAAAACATCTCTCGTTGTCTTAAATTGTTTCTGGTCATTTAAAAATAGGCTRATGACTTTGGTTTTGCAGAAAAATCAACTTGTAATAAAGATTATTCTTTCTGGATATTATTTTCATGAAGCAAGTGTGCTATGAAATTGGGAAATACTTCATTTTGCTTCATGTGTTTTTAGAGATGTTTGGTTTTGATGTCAATGGTATGAAAATGTTCACAGAAAATGGAAGTATAAGAAATTCAGCYAGGTGCTCAAATGGCAGCTAAAAATTCAAGTTTCTCCAATTGTAGAAGCCCACTCTGGATATTGGGATGTGTTCTAGACCATTTCTTTGTGAACCTAAAGATTTTTAAATCCTTTATGCAGCTTGCCTAAAGTGTTATAGCCAGAGAGGGAAAGAAATCTTTCATCACAGTCTACACAAGGTTGGGACACTCCAGTGAGAAAGTGAGCACCTTGGAAAAACCYAGTATTGTAATGCTGGCTGTTACAGAGCCCTCAGAGATAATTTTCAATCACCCTGACTTCTCAAAGCTGCCTTGGCTTTAGGAGCTGTTTCTGCCCACTTCTTGCTCAGTGACTGATAGGTATTAAAAATATTTGCTCTCTTCCCTTAAGCTCTGTCTAATCACTGTTCTACTATGCTTGGTGTTCTGAAGCTTTAAATTTATTTCTCAGTTTTCTTTTGCATTGTTGATGGGGGTTTGGGTTTGGTTTGTGGAGGTATTTTAGAATGTGTGTATAAAAAGAGTGTAAGCTGCAGGCTGAGGATGTCAGGGAGCAATGCAGATTCTTAACCTTGTATTTTTGTCCAAGATCAACCACTTATCTTACTGGTGTTTAGTTGGTCCCAGGGATAGTAGTCAGGATTCAGTTTATCACCTAATAATTGTAGTGTAGAAGTTCTTACTGGTAATATGAACATATTTTATTTTTTCAGTTAAGAATAATGAAAATGGGTGTTGTTAGTGAAGGTAGAAGAGGTAARTGTGCTATTCAGAATTTGTTACTTGGGTGTGAGGAAAAAATATAGTTGTGTTAATAATGCTGAAGACAAATTGGAAAAAAGAGGCATTAGCTTTTGTTCCTTTAAAGGGAAGTGTTCAGAAAGCAGGCTGGCCATCTGTGTGCAGAGCAGTATTTAGGTCAGTGGGTCTGTGCTGTCCTGCTTTGTTCCAGGACGAAGGGATCTGTTGTGCTGAAGGCATTCTTGTCTTGGAACCATGTAGGTTGCTGTTTAGTAAGTACTCTTTTATGAATATTCATCAAGTCTGATTATACTTCAATAGCTTRATCAGTAATTACAGGATGCTGTGACCTGAGTGAATTAAAACTACTCCTTTTAAATAAACAGTTCCTTTGGATTGGTCGGCATTTTTATTTGTTTTGTAATTGTGTTAACAACAGAAATRCAAAACGAGATTATTAGAAAGAGAAAACTCATGATAAAAATATATCAGACATCTAGCATTGTGTCCTGGTAGTATTTATCATGTAATTTCTTTTAATATATTTTTAACATACCTAACGAATATGATATGTATTTGAAATAACTAAATTTTCTTGCTGTTGCAGATGTGCAAAGGTTGTAACTTATTTGTCAAGTATTTATTGATTCTTTCCACCTCTTTTTTTGCAACTTCCTGTGTAACTTAATGAGTTAAAGAGCTTTCTAAAATAAAACAGGGGCTGACTTTGTGTTGTCTGATTTGATAGAGAGAGGATTAGTGGAAGACCAGGCAAGCTGTTGTTCGAGTATTAGCCTATTTTCATTTAACTCTCCAGAGTCATATTCCAACAGCAAATGAAAATCTAGAAGGTCMTTTTTCTGGTGTGAGATGTGTTTACATCTACCAGGAAAAAAATCTGCTTTGGATCATTGTTTTTGCACATTTCTACATTTTTACAGACAGCACAGATGCTAAAAAAAGAGAGAAAGCTCCCAAGAAAGCACGTAGTTTTTCTTCCTGCTGGATTTTCAAAGTACTCCACTTGGTTTTTGCTCCCTGCTGGAAGTCAGAGATKCTCACTTCCTTAAATGACATCTCTTAATCTCTCCTCTGTCCCCACTGGCACATGMAGCCTAAAGGAGTTCCTGCATTTGCTAAACAGAGTCAATTCTGGCTCTTTGCCTAAACATCGGCTGGATGATTCTTTGTGATAGCTATGTTGAGACAGAAAAATRGTCTGATAGTGCTTATGTTCCTTGAGACTGTCCTCCTTTCCCAGTAGGTTGCTAGGATTCTGTTGGCTTGTGACTTCTCTTCTGTCCTTCCCAGAAACAACATCCTCCTTAGGAGGAGACTTGTGAAGAGAACTTGACAAGTTTTTGAGGCTCTTCCAACTTCCATGGAAGATGTTGTGTATAATTGTGGATTTTATGTCAGAAATATGGTTATAGCAAACTTCAATTTTTTGGACATCCGGCTTGATTAAAAAACACAGCTCACTATATATTTTTAATTTTTAATTTAGTTTGAGCCACAGTATTTTGATCTGCTGACAAATGGCGCARCTGGTGATTTTGCAGCAGGATGTCTGAGTTATTGTGGGATTTGAGTGTTGCCTGCAAAGGTTGTGTAGGGGGAGTGTAGCTGTTTTATATTGCCTTGGTGTGTTGGTTGGGTTGGTGAGATTGTTACAGCACTGTGGGAAGGTGCTGTACTCCTTGCTGGACTTGGGTTGTAGCAGTGCAACCTCTGTTTTCTGTGTCAGAGACACAGAAGCCACACACAGACAATTTTTTGTCGCAATGAGGATCAGAATGAATACACAAAGATGCAGCTCTTGCTAGACACTGAGCTTTTATTGTCATTGACAGATAATTTCTCAGTGGATGGAAGCCCGTGTGTTGCTTGTGGAGTGCCCAGCCTCATGAATCCAGTCACTAAGCCTGTCACCACCACTTCTTTCAACACTGCAGTGCCTGACATTCCAAGGAAACGCAAGGGAAGTGATTCTGATAACCAGTAAGTGAATCAGTTCTCTGTGTCTCAACCTAAATTTGAGACATTCTGTTATTTATGCAACATGGTAACTGTTTAATCTTCTTTCCTTTGTTTATTACCGTTAAATTTACAATGTCTTCCAAATGTATTCTTTGACAGCCCCCAATTATTAAAAATAGAAAAAATAATCCTTAAATCCAAGGGATATATGTAGGATTCTTTAGTGCTGTTTCCTGGCCTGAAGTGTCTGGATAATGTGTCTCTAATGCTGAAATTTCAATCCTATCTTTTTCTTTTCTGTTTTTTTCTCCTTCTTTGCCTACTAGTAAGGGCAAGTTATTAAGTTGCTAGAATTATCCCAAGTGCATATTGGAATATTACCTTCAAGCCTGAAATAAGATTATTTGTTGTTTCAGTGACCAGAGCAGCCATTTCCTTAGATGTGGAGACAGACCCATGACCTAAAAATGGGGACTGTCCTCTTGTAGAGCTCAGCCTTTTTAAGTGGGTCATATTTGACTGCTGARGTGGCTCTGTCAACTGTTTTATCCTGATTTATAACTGCTAAACAGATGCCAGTCAACCAAAAAAAGGGATCTGTTCCAAGCTGTGTAAATCAGGCAGAAGYAGGGGACGCAATGTGCAGATGTAATGCACTACAAATATCTCCAAACTAGTGTGGAAAATACATGTTTAAAAAGGTGAAGGTAGGAGATTTACATTTATTAGTAATTATTAAAGCAATTCTATTTAATCACTGCTTCTTCCATATGTAGTTCATTGATCTACAGAGTGTATCTGGACATGTTGATATAAGTGATCTTGGAGATTCGAGTATATCATGTGGATAACTGAAAACTCCAACAATACATTAGTTTCTGGGAAAAAAGTCTCCATTCTTTTTAAGTAGMGCTTGTTGATTTTAACCTTTTCAGTAAAAGTGTTGGTTCATTAGTAGTGTTTCCCTGAAGTTTAGATATCTGATAAAAATATTTCATGTCCAAGTCGAAAAACTAATTGAAAAACTATTGGCTTATAAGAAGCAGTAATTAGGTTCTAAGACTAATGGTCTTCTGAAAATAACCAATCAGCTGGGTTTTCCTGTAAAATTTTTCTGCAACTTTGTTTCATTGTGTCTATCAAGTTACCTTCTTGTGCCTCAAGCTCCATTTTTCTTACTTTGTGACCTGTTTCTGCAGGGATACAGTTGAAGTTGATGGTGATCCTCAGAAAAGGTACTTTTTTATGAATGAATCCATTTCTGTTTTGAGTTCTGTGAACATGTCACACTTTGCTGTTTAGCTAGATGAGCTATGTGGTTACTTGAGTGTTTCATCCAACGGCAGGTCTGTGTAAGCACAAGGTGATAAAGATCCAGCTAAGGAACAGGATGGACAGGTCCATCCAATGTTAAGGGTTTCWGATAGTTCTTTCTAAAATGATGCTCTGCTTTCAGCTTTACCAAACTTGTTAGTATTGAAGTTTAGAATGAGAGTAAATGAAAAGTTAAATAAGAAGACTTAGSAGTCAAAGGAAGACTCATATTCTTCCAGGACTGGTGACTGTAAACATTTTTGTTTGTTTCTTTTAACTATTTAAAGTGTTTTTTTTTAAATTAGAACTATTTTAACTATGTCAAAATAATGCTATTACAAGGTGACTGTGCAGCATAAGCAAACCCTTTGTGGAATATATGTGCCAGGATGTTTTTTTTACATTCTCTTCTTCTGTATCTGGGTACCTTKGTTTGTAAGCAGCCGTGCAGTGTTTTTATAAAACAGACTATTCCACTTGTAAGGGACTTAAAATAATCATCCAGTCCTACGGCCTGAGCACTTCAGAGCTGACCAAAGGTTAAGGCACATTGTAAAGGGCATTGTCCAAATGCCTCTTAAACACAGACAGGCCGAGGGCTTTGACCACCCCTCTAAGAAGCCTTTTCCAGTGTTTCCTCACCCTCTTGGTAAAGAAAGGCTTTCTAATGTTGCATGTAAACCTCCCCTGCACAGCTTTGTACTCATTCCCACGTGTCCTATCCTTGGATGCTGGGGGAGAGCACCTCCCTCTGCACTTCCCCTCCTCAGGAAGCTGCCGAGAGCAAGGAGGAGGCCTCAGCCTCCTTTTCCCCAAACTAGACAAACCATGAGTCTTTGGCCATGTCCCATCACACATTCCTTCTGTCCCTTTCACCAGCTTTGTTGCCTTCCTCTGYGTTCAGAAACCTTCACATCTTCGYCAAACACTTTCTAATATTTTTGGGCCCAAAAGTGCATGCMGTRTTAAAGGTGAAGGCACACCAATGCTGAGCACAGCAGYRTAATCACTTCTTTGTGATGTTTTGATGAGCCCAGATTGTGGTTTGCCCTCTGACTGCCTTAAGTTGGGCCTGCTGTCAGCCAGCACACCCATAGGTCCCTTTTTGCAGGGGAGTCACTGTTTGGTACAAAGGTAGTGTAAAAACCTCTCTTTGGGGTTAAAGTTGTTTCTTTGCAGATTTTTYCCATGGTACTCATGATAGAAAGTGTGACTAAAAATTCTCCTTTTCTGCTTTTAAAAMATTTACTTCAATTTTAGAAGAAATGGGGAAATGTATTTAATAAATCAATTGAGAAACWAGAGGAAAAATTGGTATTCTTTAATTTTTTTCTGATTAATACCCATTCTRTCCTTTCTAGTACCAATCAAATATACCCACATTATAGCCACACAGTGGAATTTCACCYTCTGTTCATGTAGTCAAGGTAGTTTTAATTTAGCTGTTCATATCAGTAACACCACAGCTGTTGGGACAGAGGCTATAAAAATCCATTGAAGGCTGGGACTGATTGCTTGAGCAGCAAATTTGTGCTAGATTTTTTCCCAAAGTGGAGCTCCTGAGGGAGAAGGAAAATTAATTAATAGGGCACATGCTGCATTGCAGCTGGTCTGGCTCCTTCTTACCTGTTCTCTTATGGTCAGAGAGTGTAAATTCAGTTGGAATTCACAGTATATTGATATTTCTTCTAAGTTTCTSTTAAAACAAAAGGAAAATATTAGTTATCGCTAGCTCATCTAAATCTGAAAACATTTCARTGAATAAAAGTCTTTGGGTGTTGTAAGCCAAACCTCCTCCTGYGTTTGGGTTTATCAGACTGTCTAGAAGATTGCTGGGTTCCAGTGAAATCCCACATTTTGAACTGTGTGCTAATTTGGCTCTGGCTGCTGGATCCTCGCTGGGGTCACTGCTCAGTTATAGGTGCAAGCAGCTTTTGGCATCTTYCCTGAAGTTGTAATCTCCAGGATCCTCCAGCTTCTATTTCCTTGTGGGAGACAGGTGCTGCCTGCTTGGCCTCTCTCCTCTTCATCCTCATGGCCATGCTCTGGAATTCTTTGCAAGGAGTGGTGAACATTGCAGTGCTCGTAGGGAAAGGAGAGCTCGTTGCCCTTGTTTGAATCATCCTTTACAGTTTCCTGTTGCAGAGAGTTTATTGTGCTACAGACACTTAGGACTGTGTTTCGTTTACAGTTTTATTACTTTATGACTTACCAGTCATTGCTGTAGGGTATGGGAAATAGCTTCTTTTTTAATGTAATTTAGGATTGCTTATTTTGTAATTTGACAATAAGATATTAGAAATAAAAACATAATTAGATAATCTCTCCTGTAAGGTTTTAAACAAAAAAAAAATCAAGCCTACTCTTAAGTTACTTGAATGTTTCAATAATGTTAATGTCTTCAGAACAAAAAAAGCCCCATAATTATGAAATATCCCTTTAATATGTTCACAGAACTGTGAATATTGCAAATTGTGCTTTGTTCTCTTTCTGCTATGCATCACTTGCTAGATTAGATTTGGTTTAGGGATTTTGTGGGTTTGCTTTCTCTGGAGCCGTAGTAAATTTGTAGCATTTTCTATCTTCTGGAATTGTGGGAGGCAAAAAGTGCCTAGTATTAAATGTGCAATGTAAAACTCTGTATCTTGTTTTTCCTAGGAGTGAAGATGAAGAACATGTTAAAGTAAAAGATTTCAGGTACTAATTTACARCAGAAATACTTTTTGCTAGTGAATACTGTTGTTCACAGTAGTAAAATATGAGTTTGTGGGTAACATTCATGAAAATGATCAAATATTTAACAGGAAGCTTTTCCTTTTCGTTGTTAAATGTGTAGGAATTTTTAGAGCCCCTTTGAGGATTTTATGTGCTGCTAATTTTAATAAAAGCTGCTGCAGAATATCTCAGAGGGTTTAGCAAAAACACAAGGTTAAAATTTTTAAGGTGAGAATTAAATGCAGTACACTCAAGTCATGTATAAGGAGCTGAGCCTTCATTTGTACTAATTTGAGAATTGTTTATTTCTAGATTTGTATGCCTCTGGAGGTATTTAAAATTTTTTCGACATGGAAATTGATTTGGCTGAAGTATGACAAAGATTTCTTGTTCTGGAAGAAGCTTTTGTTTAGGGAAATCTCTTTGAAAGAGATTTGAAATGCTAGGTAACTGAATGCAGCCACAGTTCAGCCAAACAAATATTTTAAACTACAGACAAGTCACATAGTCAACTAGAGCTGTGCTAGAAAGTCAATTTAAAAATAAGTCTTTCATTTTTCATGAGAGCAGAGATGTCARACCAGAAATATATAATGCACTCAGCATGCTGTCAGAAGTATTATTTATATAGTATGCTAGCTAGTAATTATGAAATGTTCTTGTAATTGAAACAAAATTAAAGAAACTAAAATGTTCCAAGATATATTTACAGTTTAACTTCAAAATTAATTTTTCTTCGTGGAGTATCCTGGCTTGCTATATAAGATTGTTTTATATATTGCTTTAATAACTTTTAAATGCTATGCTTAATTTTATTCCTTACTTTTTGGTGCATTAGTTGGAGGGAAAAAGAATCTGTACAAGGGTCTCTARAGGTTTGCTTATCAGTATCTCCTGCCAGTGTTTCTTGACTCAAGCTTTTTGTGAACTTGCTTTTCTCCTTTCCTCTTTGTGGCTGGGGCAAGTAACAGAAGGTTTTTTGAATCAGCCAGTCATCACCTGAATTTCTGCACCCACCAGTTCAGTTTTTTATAACTCCTCATTGACCCTTAGAGATGTGGACGGTTGTTCTCTTTCCTGGAATACTTCTATCTGTCTTCCTAAGGTTCACAGTTCAAGGAGCGTATASAGGATATTACTTGATTGTTCCTACCTGACATAAAGGAAGAGTTGGGTGAACCCACAGACATGAACATAACTCATAAAATCAAATCTAAAAAAGGGCTTTAGAGAGAGAAGAGCTGAATGCTTGGCAGAATGACCCAGAATTAGCTGTGGGGTGAAGGCTTTTTTTTTTTTTTTWAATAATAAAAATAGTAGACMWCTAGMTCTTTAGAAGTGCACTTTGTTCTTTCTCAACAGGCCAGGAGTAGTTAATTTTATTTCCTTTAATAGCTTCTGTTGCAGTATGCCTATGAGGAAAAGTTTTGGAGATTAACCAAAACTTATTCCTCATTTTGCATAGCTATACTACTGTGYCTGGTCTCAACCAGAAAGGAATATCATCTGTGTTTTAATTGAGTAGCTGGCTTGTCTTCTGGGTAAGGAGGGAAGAGAGTGAATTAAACTTTCCTTATCTGTTAGAGAATGTTAGAGGGGAGGAGATGGGCTGAAAAGCTGACATACTGCACTAGAAAGAAGTAAAGAAAAGGTGACCTGAGCTATAAATATACTTGTGAGGTGCAGTCATGTGTCCTAGAAGGAGTTTTCTGATGAWTACTGGCCAAGAAGAGAAGTTCTTTCTGTGGCTGAGTTCTTGACAAGGCTTACCAAGAGACAAAACCTGAGACAGCCCAAAGACTGAAAGCCTTTGTACCATCTTGTCAGGAAAAGGAWAGCTTTCTGAGATACTTCTGGTAAATTACATGAGGCACAGCTTTTTTTTTTCAGTTTCCACTACATCTCTTAAAAGCGCATGTAAAAGTAATGTTTATTGCTGTGGGGTTTTTTAAAAGGCAGCAGAATGAATGCCCCATCTTAGTTACACAGGCCAGGCAGAGGTAGGAGCAGGGTGCAGAAATATCTTTCAGTGATTCCCAGTGACATCAAGAATTTTCTGGGATACACAGAGGTGTCCAAGTCATCACTTGCATGGCAAAGATCACGAGAATAGTTTGACTTTTATAAGACCTCATAATTTCTTGTTTCTACCACATAGAATCCAATTGTTGCTTGAAATATCTTTTCTCCTCAGTATTTCACATTGTTATTGTGACCATTTCATCTTTGTTGAAGTGAATCAAATTCAATTGTCTAATACAAGTAGCGTATAAAAAACTGTTTCAGTGCAGTACTATTTGTGATAGTTCCATTCCCAAAATTGAATTGATTAATATTATGGAGAAATCATGTGTTCTGCATCTTTCTTAAAAAATATTTTTTTCTTCTTAGAGAGGCTCACAGTCAAACAGAGAAAAGAAGAAGAGACAAAATGAATAATTTGATAGAGGAGTTGTCTGCCATGATACCACAGTGTAATCCCATGGCCCGAAAGCTGGACAAACTCACAGTGCTACGGATGGCTGTGCAGCACCTAAAGTCTTTAAAAGGTGAGTTTAGGAATTCTCATCCTGTAAATCCTTGTTCAAATGGGAGTTATACCGTGTATCTTGGATGTTAAATAAATTATCAGTATTTTATTTTACATTTCCTTGCTGTATTTAGCTCCAAGTCTGCTCCTCATTTAAATGTACATATCTATAGCTGTCAGAAACTTAATTCTTAATTTTTGCTTAATATAACAGAAAAAAAGCCACCCTTCAGTGACTGGTATTTCCTGTCTGCTAAGGGTATACCTTGCTGTTGTGTCACTCCTGGATTCTTTTAAAAAAGTACAGGAGTCAAAAGGAATGTTACAAGACAAAACACACTTCGACAAAATGGTCGCTGAGTTTGGTGACATTAAAGCCTTAAAAATCCTCACACGTTTGAGAATACCAAGAAATAGAGTTAGAAACTTCTGATAGCCTCTGTCAGCTAGCAAAGTAATCATGGATCTTTGGGAATGGTTTAGTGGGGGGATCAACCCAGGAAATACTCTTTCCCCTTCTTTTGCTGTTGCTAGGTTTTGGGATTTTTTTTCCCTCTCCTAATAAAATATACCCAAATACAAGTTGCATATTGCATAGTCTRTCATCTGCACACAGTATTTGGGGGTTTTGGCACCACTGTTCCAGAATAATAATTTGGTCAACTGCGAGCAAAGATCAAAGACCCTTTGGATTGCAAAACCCACTGATTATAAATAAAGAAGTTAGTTTTGAGTCAAAGAAGTGTAGAAAATAAATTACATCGCTCCCTTGACAGTAACAGAACCATGGAGTGGCTCGTGTGTAAAGGGTTTTGTGGGTTTTCTAAAGGACCAAGCAAACTGAGAGTTTTGCATGAAAAAAAAACATGATAAACCAGCAGGGCAGTAACTGCACTTACAGTTTAAACAAGCATTTACAGGAAATCTTTAGCTCAAGTATTTGTATTTTAACAATCAGGTGTGAAAACTGCACTTTAYCCGGCACAGTTGTATTTACCTTCAAAACAAATGGTTTAAGAGAATACAAGATACTTTGTGGAGTTTTAGTGAAAGATGAAATTGGCTGAAATGTTCAAGTGCTACTTTCCTCAAAAATGTAGCAAGAAAAAATTATAAAAATGTAATGGATAAAAATGTAATGGATAAAAATGTAATGGACAATTAGAGTACTTGCCATGGGTGCTAGAACAGTACATTCAGTGAGTCAGTCTCACTATATTTAGTGAGACATTTGATTTAACTACAATAGTCTGGGTTTTTGAGGTTGGCTATAGAGTACTAATGAAGTATTATTAATGCCAGAAGACAATTGATAATATTGGAATTATGCAGTTTCAACAAAGATAATTACTGAAGGGTTCTGAAATAGACCTGTGAAATGTTTTGGGAAATTCAGTTCTCATAATACCATTTCTCTAGCAATGCATTAGTGATATCTGAACAGAAGTTTCCTTGGTTTTTGTTAAGCAAAGGACAAGGAAAACAAAGGTTATGTGTCTGTGTTCATTACCAGTRTATGTTTGAGGTTTTTTAAAATTTTATTTTTAGAATTTCTAGAACTTGAAATTATTTTTTTTATTCAGCTGTTGAGGTCACAGAGAAAAAATCTGAAATACATAACAAGTATAACTCTGCTAAAAATAAACTAAAAATGTAACTTTTGATCTCTACGAATAATCCATTTTCCAGGTTCCAGTAGCTCCTACACAGAAGTCCGGTATAAACCTTCATTTTTGAAGGATGATGAACTCCGACAGTTAATCCTTAGGGTAAGTGGAAGGTAACTCTCAGATAAATCATATTCATGTTAAAGTTTGAGTTTTTAGTAGGACAGTGCTTTTTCTCCCATCTTTTCCTCCAGGCAAGTGTTTTGTTGTACTGGTTTATAAACTGTGTGCACCACCCAGGCTTTTAATGAAGATGTGCAGAGGTGTTTGGGAGCGTGGCAAGATGCAGCCCTGGAAAGGACAATAGATCTGTGTACAGTCTGCCTGTTTAATACATCCAATATTGAAGTCTGTATGCAAGTCTAGAAAATGCTTTCAATTATGCAGAAATGTCCTTGCACTTGTTGGCTCTCCTTCATGTGCATTTTTAAAGATGTACTTTGAAAAAGGTGCAGAAAATACCTAGAATCAAATCTTTCCTTTTGTTTGCACACTTCATCATAAACCCACACACTTCATTCACAGCTAGGTTTTTTTTTTCCTTCGCTGCAATAATGCTTTGCCAAGATCTGTAAATGAGTCCCAAGAGAAGCTGTTTTGCAGCTGGACTTTTGCCAAAGCTGTGTTTGAGAAAGTTWAGCTGTGTGTAGTTGAAGACCTGATTTGGTCCTTGCATTCTTAAATTGCTTTTTYATGGAATCTCAGAATGGTCTGGGTTGGAAGGGACCCTAAAATTAATCTCCTTCCAACCCCCTGCCATGGGCAGGGACACATTCCACTATCCCAGGCTRCCCCAGTCCAGCCTGGCCTTGGACACTTCCAGAGATGGGGCAGCCACAGCTTCTCTGGGTAATCTATGCCAAGGCCTCACCTCCTTGACAGGAAAGAATTTTTTCYTGATACCTAATCCAAACATTCTCTCTGTCAGTGTGAAGCCATTCCCTTTGTCCTGCCACTACATGCTTTTGTAAAAATTCCCTCTCCAGCTTTCTTGTATTCAATTTTAAAAATCAGATTTARAAGTGTGCTTTCTTGTAGTAATTAATATTCATTRTTCATTTTAATTAAAGACAGTATCTTTATATTTTCAGGCTGCGGATGGATTCCTATTTGTGGTTGGATGCAACAGAGGAAAAATTCTGTTTGTCTCCGAATCAGTTTGCAAAATACTTAATTATGATCAGGTGGTTATGGTTGTTTCTTGTTTGCTGTTACCTTGTATTTTCTTAGAAATTTTAAAACTTWTACATGCTATTTTGTATTACATCAAACCAGTCCTTGCATATAATTTCTTGGAATTTTGTTGATTTAACCTTATTCAGAGTAAGGCTAAATATCCTGTAAGAAAATATGTGCAAGTACAGTCAGTGTTCCCAACCTGGATAACAGCACCAGATTTCTGCTGATCATCCTTAAGAAAACTGGCAGTCTGAGAGGAAGGGATAATTTGAAGTTGTMCTAATTTCTGTGTGCAAGAGATTTCTTTCACATGGTGAAGTGATTTTTGGGGGAATTTTTAGGCCAAGGAAAATTGGCAGTTCAGCAGCAGAAGCTAATTAAAGCTTTCTTTGGTCATGCCTTTATGCTCGGGTGCACCACATAACACATCATCTGCAATAACTATCCAAGTGTGTACCCTTAACCTGAAAGAAACTGAATGGGAGCCAGCTCAGTCTGTAGAATAAGGGAAATAAGAAAAATATAAGTACCTACCATTAACTGATGTTTAGTGTCATGGGCAATTACCACAAATAGTCAAGGGATGATAATTTTTTTCTGTACCAATGACTTCTGTTGCACAAACAGAGGCTAAAATAGTTAGTGCTGCCATCTGTCTACTTTTGTAACTTTGAAACCATTTGTGCCATCTTCATTTTCTTTATAAATGTACAGATAACCAATCTGGACTCTTTCATAGATTTATTTTTATCTTTTTTTTTTAAAGAAGTGCAAAACTATATTTTTTAATTAAAGTGAAATGAATCATCCTAGGGGAATAAGCATAAAGCAGATTTTTTTTTTTAAACTTCTCCACTGATTTTACTCGAGAACTAAAAGTGCTTTTCTGGAATCATTCACATTAGACATCCCTACTTCCAGATCCTGAAGATCTCCTCTATTCCAGACAAGGAGATTCAGGGGGTGTGACTGACTTAGCCCATGGATTTATTAGCTTATTTGGGAATTGTTCTAGGTTCTAAATCCTACGCTGCAGCTTAATCTTGTTTTTTAGACCTGTATATTTTGGCAAGGCTGCTGTTAGCCTTTCTCAGCAGCACTCAGCATTTTCCCTTTGCATTAAGATTAGATGGGTCTGGGCAAAGAGGCAAGAGGCTGGGTGTTTATCCTGAGTTTGAGTCTAGAGTAGTGCTTGTCAACACAGCTCTTTTCTATCCTTTGATTTGTCTGCTGTGCTGAAGGTAAGCAGTGGAAAATGCAAACCAGTCCACTTTAGTGACAATTCCTTCCTATTCCAGAGGAAAGCAGTGCAGCAGGTCAGTTACTTRAGATAATCAGAGTGAACAGGTTGAATGCATCCCTGCTGGAGACATCCCTTTAAATATCCTCTGCTAAGGAGTGCTGTCGTGAGCTGACCCCTGCTTCCAGCCTGCTCCTGGCTCAGTAGTGCCAGTTTATCCAACAAAATTAGAGCTCAGAGTCATTTAACAGTTGAATATTTCATCCTACTTGCTGTTTCTTCCCTCCTTCTCCAATAATCTGAGAGTGGAGTTACTCTGTGCATAACCTTATTTGGCTAGGATCAGAAATTGCATTATTTACATTTAAACCATGGCTTTACAGAACTTGTTTAATATTCAACTAATCCGGTGTTTTTCAAAGGAAAGTAACAAATTATGGTTTTATTACACTTTTAAATAAAAATTATATTAAACAATGGCAAATGAAATGTAAATCAAAACATTGATGTTTGGAGTAACTGTTGTATTTGACTTTTTTTTTTTTTTTTAGTGTGTAGACAATTATTTTTCTGAGATAAGTAATGTGTGGGGTCCTGTTCCAAATCAGTGTGGTTCTCATCTCTTTTGGTTTTTGTTTCTTTTGAAATAGGCCAGTTTGATTGGACAAAGTTTGTTTGATTACTTGCATCCAAAAGATGTTGCAAAAGTTAAGGAGCAGCTTTCTTCATCRGACATCTCGCCTAGGGAGAAGCTCGTAGATGGAAAAAGTAAGTGAGACCTGAACATGCTCAGATTTTTATAAGAGATGTTAGTAAAACTATTAGTCAGGATGTATTCAGGTGTTTGTATGTACAAACATGTATGGATGAACAAACCTGAGATACATCTAGGAAGCAAACATTTGGATGCATATCTACTGTTTAAAATGCATCTACAGTTGAAAAGCTAGCTCAGAAAAGACTTGATTTTAGATCATAAGCATTACTGGCATTCTATTAAATTACTGAAATCACTGTTAAGCATTTACCAAGATGTGGTCTGACATTCTTCCTACCAGCATACTACTGTTTTTTCTTGTGTTTGCTAGGTCTTGTCAATACAAAAGACCTGATGTAGTCGAACATGGGATAAAATACTTCAATGTCAAGAATCACTGTCTTCTCTGAAAATGCTAAGTGTCAATCCTAATGTAACCAAACCTTCTTTTGTTTACAGTTATTTCTAATAAGGAAAGCATTATGTACTGTGCAGCTAATGGCTATTTTGTAGCTGGCTTTTACAAGCATCTTTGCAGTTCTTCCTTGTACCAAATACRAGTTGAAAGTTATAAAGCATATTTAGTAAAATACTATTCAAGATATCAAGAAGAGTTTAAAAATAGTTTGGTCGCTCTTTGTAATTTTGGAATCTGTGTCAATCATGTTTTCTTTGCCCTATTTAGATTATTAGACTTTTTTAATTGTAAGGACAAAATTTAGGCAGCTAAACTGTAAGGAGAATGTACGTGGGAGGTAAATGAAGAAAGCATCTGGTTTTCTGAAGTTTTATTGCTTGATTTTGGGTTTCTTAACTACTTTACTAAATCTTTGTAAGCTGGCTTGCAAGTACACACAGATTTCCAAGCTGGACCAGCTCGACTGAACTCTGGTGCTCGACGTTCCTTCTTCTGTCGGATAAAGTGTAGTAGGACCACGGTCAAAGAGGAGAAGGAGTGTTTGCCCAACCCAAAGAAGAAAGGTATTCAAAGCGCGTAGATGAAGTGGGGGCTTTCTGTCTTAAAACTTGGTCTATTTAAATTCCAAGTCAGTAATGACCTTACAGTTATCACTTACCTCACTAAGTAGCTGTAGAGAAGTGTAAATRTGTACAAGAGACACCTTTTGAAAAACAGTCTAATTGTACTCTTTCTCCTCCCTGTGCCCTCCTGGAAAGAGGGAGGGAGGCACCTGAGCTACAGTGGCTGTATAGGAGCATGTGGTCTGTTGTGGTCAAAGTTTAGAAGTCTCAGGGAAATGTTTGAAAGCACTGGAACAGATCAGAAGAATGAAACTAAATAACTTATGTCTTGAAGATAACTGAGTGAATAAGGCCTGCAAACTCTACTATTTTGAAAGAAAAAAAAGCAAGTAAACCAACTTTATTTTCTGATTTACTTTTTGTGTTGTGTGTATTTAAAAGTAGGAATTTTCCTTTTTTTCTCTTTTCATAGTRAAGTTAGTTTATCAGTGTAATTCCATTCATTCTCCCAGTAATTTAAATTTAGTTCATATTTCRATATGCCTGTACAGCAATATAATCTTGTCAAATTTTGAGTAATAATTAAAATTTCAATTTTAAAATGCAGTTTCTAGCTTTTGTTTTAATACCTTAGTACTGATTTTTGCAAAGGTGTGCTGAAATTTTTTTATCCTGCAAGAATCTTCCAAGTTTCGTTTTTCAATGTAACCTGTTACTGTTGAGATACAGCACAAATTTTGAGAGACCCATGATTGTAAGTAAATAGAATTTGGTATCCCTTGATGTGTCAGATAACTCAGTGAGATAAGAATTTAACTTCTATAAATGTTTCTTGGGAAAGCAGTTTTGAGGGAAGGCACCTGAGAAAAGGACAGAATCATAGTGGGATAACTCAGTTTCATTCTGCAGAATTGATACGTGTTTGTTGTAGTTGAGAGGAAATCAAACCTCTTGGAAAGCATCCTGTTCAGCATACAGATGTCAAGAATGCTTTGGCTTTTTTTTTTGAAAGACAGCTACTGTAGGACGCATAATGCCATCTTAATGCCTTGATTTTTTTGAGGGTGTTTGCATATTAGTTAGAGAGTAAAAAGGGATGAATGACAGTGTATGCTGGAATTTGAGAYATTTAAAATATTTGTATTCCCATAAAATCGACATATTCAGAAGCCTGAGATAAATAGAAAATAAGCTGGATTGCTTTGGGTTGCTCTTGACTGATTCTTCCAGCAGTTGCGGCAAGCATATGTTCAGATCATTGTGCTCATCAGAGGTAAATTGATTTGGAGAGGGCCTCAGGTTGATTTTAATATTTTAATTCACAATCCATATGAAACCATATAAAGACAAAATGATTTGTGTGTTATTGCTTTTCTTTTTCTGTGAAACTTGTGTTTGAACTGCCAGCACCCATAACTTATGTTCCAAAATCTTACATAGGGTTAGAAGCACTCTCTGCACGTAAGCCCACATTAAATAGAACAAAATCAATGTAAAAATACTCTGTAAAATTATCTATAGCTTTGTACAGTTGGTGTAGGTAAGCATGAAACATAGTTGCTAGTCCTATGGCAAACAGAATAAAATAAGGAGTTTGGTTTACTCTTTGAACAATAACTGCTTCTTATTTAATTTCTTTCTATTAGATCACAGAAAATACTGCACCATTCACTGTACTGGGTATTTGAAGAACTGGCCTCCTAATGAGGTGGGAGTAGAAGAGGAAAATGATGTAGAAAAGGACAGTAGTAACTTTAACTGTCTTGTTGCAATTGGGAGGTTACACCCTTATATTGTTCCACAAAAGAGTGGAGAGATAAAAGTSAAAGCAACAGAATTTGTTACACGATTTGCCATGGATGGAAAATTTGTTTATGTAGATCAGCGGTAAGCGTTTTGTTCTTTAATGAAGAGAAATGACATTGCTTCCATTTTCTGATACTCTGTCAAAACTGTAAYTTCTCCAGCAGGATAGAAATTCTAATAAGCATTCTCAATTTTTGAGAATTCTTTGAAAATTCTCAAAAATTCTTTCAGAATTTTTTTCTGGTCTACGCAAGAAGCAGTTAATTCCTAATCTATGATTACTTGGGTTTTGGGGTTTGTTTGTCAAATAATGCATAATGCATAGAAATGTATTGTCCTGTAGAAAATGGTGAGCTAGCAAGGTGAAAAGAACTTATTAAATGGACTCATTTATTCACAAAGAATAATCTCAAGTTAGAGCTTCATAGTTCTGCATATGACGGAAGTAATAAACATTTAATCAAAAGTTATGACTTCTGAAAGTTCTACCATTTGTAACAAATACATTATATCTAAATGAGGCAGCAAATTGTTTCGTGAGAAGTGAGATTGAAGTTTCTATTTTCTGTGCTTTCAGAACCAGACTTTTATTTGTTGTAGACAACTAGTTACCACTTTGCGTTTTGAATTTCATTGTTGTTACCAGCAACTTCCTTGCTTTCAGTCATCTTTTCTTTCAATGAAAAGTGTTGGTTTAAAACCAATTCCTTTGAGTGGAAGATCAAAATTCAAAATTCAGTTTTTTATTGACTCTTACGTGTGGCCAGTACTCTGACTGGCTAAGGGGAAGACTCTAACCATAAGTATTTTGTATGTACATGTGGTTTGCATGTTTAAACACTTWTTTTATCTTTGAATTGTCATTCATTACAAAAGGATAATTTATAATGGAAAAGATTTYCTGTTGTTTTAGAGCTGTACTAATGCTATATTTTTTTCCAAAACATGAACACAGGCATCTGTTTGTTTAAATATTCATGTTCTGCTTTATCTGATACTGAAGAAAACAGCTTTGAATCCGCTGTAGTTCATGTTTTTATTTCTAACAGCGCAACAGCCATTTTAGGGTATCTGCCACAAGAGCTTCTAGGAACTTCTTGTTACGAGTACTGCCATCAAGATGATCACAATCACCTAGCTGAAAAACATAAAGAAGGTACAAAATGGTTGGTCCTCCCAGATTACTTACAATTACTTGTAACTGCAGGTGAAAACACTACAGACCCAAACTAACCAACCTCAGCATTGCCCTTGTCGATGTCTGCGTTAAGACATGCCCATGTGAAGCTTGTAATAAAAGCAGGGAGAAACTTGTGTTGTCTTGGCTCCTGRTGCAGGGGAATTGTGGGGGAATAATGTCTGTGCATCTGTCAAATCCTCTGCTTCCATTCTTTGTAAGGARGGGAAGGAATAAACGTGCCTGATAACATAATTAAAGACACCAGTTATGAAAGTTCAGCAAGTCATGAGTCTCCTTCTAGGGGTTTGCAGAAGCTTAGTGTTTGGAGTTTAATGTAAGATTTATGACACTGATGAGACTTTAATTTGATTTTAGAGCAGGTCCCAGTTTGTTCTGGCATGTCATTCTGTGTCTAGCCAATAAAAACATTTTGGTTTTATGGTGCTATAAAACAGATTTAGTATTTTTAACTATACCTTTCTAAGCTTAAATATGGTGATTATAACTTTCCTTTTCTTATCTAGTGTTGCAGAATAAAGAAAAAGTATTTACAAATTCCTACAAATTTAGAGCAAAAGATGGGACTTTTGTTACTTTAAAGAGTCAGTGGTTTAGTTTCATGAATCCATGGACCAAAGAGCTGGAGTACATTGTATCAAACAACACTGTGGTATTGTAAGTAATAACTCTCCATGTTATTTTTTGTTATAATTTCAGTTAGCTTTAACAGAAAACAATCTGCTTAGGAAGGAGAACAAGGCTAGAAAATTTCAACCCTTCACAAAAAGGGGCTGAGTAACCTGGACAAACTTTTTTTGGCTATTTTTGTTTCAGGCCTAAGTCATGGATTTGATTGAAAACTATGCTGTTTGCCAGTAGGAAAAAATTAGGTGGAAGAGTTTCTTRTTAAATGAAGAAGGGAAGGATCTTTAAGAAAAGTAGATACAAGTAAATGGGACTGTCAAGTTAATTCTGCTTTTCCTTCTGATCTTTCCAACCCTATATGTGTCAGTTGACCCAATTCCAAGTGCTACCCTACCTCCCAGGTGTCAGAAGGTGGAGAAGCACAACTGATAGATGGTAGAAATGAAAGGCAGGACAGAAAGATACTCTGCAAATTGATTGCAAAGGTGGAGCCTGTGGGACAATAAATGCATGTGTTTCATCCTTCYTTTTGGATTTTGAATTCTTTTTCATTCTCTGTACCTTGCAAAGGAGCTGTAATTCAGATTGTTCCGGTGCTGCTAAGGATCTTTGCCAATGACTGGGGTTYTGAGAGGGGACAGAGGGGATTTAATTTCCATTAAACAAAGTTGTTGAGGGGGCCTTGTACCCATTCTGTATCTGGTTCATGCCTTAAGTCAACATCACTCACCTCTGTTGCCCATATCCTTTTCCCCCAAGAAGACAGGAGCAGTYAAGACAGTCTGTGCTGGCCAGTAGCCAAAAGGACACTGTTGCTTGCCCSAGAGATGTGGGCATTTGCAGCTGTCTGCAGGAGGGAAGGAGTGCAGCAGCTGCTGGCACAAGGCCGCCACTGACCTGTCCTTGCAGCAGTTGTTCCTACTTACTTGATCGCCCTGCTAACAGTAAAACTGACAGCCCTATTCCCTTGTCATGGAATACAGACAGTCATATTGGCTTTCTTTTTACTTGGAGAGTAAATGGAAAATAATATTTCATTCGATGCCTCAGAAACATTACAAAGAATTGAATGTGGAAATACATGAGGAATATCTTATTTTTTCACTAGTTTGGGGATATTAGCTTTCATTCTGTGTAAAGTATTACTGAAATTAAACATAAATATATGCTGAATTTTGCTCTTAAAAAAAAAAAAAAAAGCTTGCTAATTTTCTGTGGTTTGTTTTGGATTTTTTTCATCTATTTATGTCTCAGAGGTCATAARGAGTCAGCTGAAGAAGAGGTCCTCTACAGTTCCCAGCCTGCAGAAGGCAAGTGTCACTTCTTACAGTTATCACAGGTGTATCTCCTGATCGGTCAGTTTAGATTTATTAAGTCCAGAGATTTTTTTTATTCTAGGTTATGTGCAGGAAAGGATTAAATTTTTTTAAAGCTACTTCTGGTGACAATTTCAAGTTACTTACAGAATCCTAATTGATACAGTTCRCAGAGCTGCAAAGATAATTGTATATAACATTTTTAATTTCTAGCACCTTCTGTTACAGCTAGGGTTTTGGTTGGTAGGGTATTAGCTTCTGTCACAGACCTTTCATATTTTGCCCAGTTTTCTGAACAAATGCAATTGTGCTGAGTTTATCTGTAGAATAAAGGGCAAAACTTTACAGAACATATTTTGTTATTATTTTTCTGCTATGCRTAGAGTGCTTTCTGCATGCTGTTCTATCATCTTGCTGTGAAGTCTTTATTTTTTCTTTTCAAAATGTTCTTCCAATAACTCATTTCAGTTGGTGARAAATCCAGGGGTTTTTTTAAGTTCATGTTCTTTGCAATGTCTGTGAGAGAGACTGGAGGTGGCAATGATTAAATATATTTCACTACTGCATAACAACGATTTTCATAAACAGATTATTCATTTTATATTGCAACACCTTCTGCTGTGAATCAGTGTTTAAAGGAATTTAATTTCTGAATATATCTGTATTTTGAAATATAAATTTATTCTSTATAGAAGTATTTCTGGAACAAAAGCTGCTTTAAAATGAATCTTTGCTCTGCAATGAAACTGCTCTGGGTTTAAGGTTTTGTTTTTGTTTTGTATCTGCAGATGCTGTAAAACAGTCGTTAGTAAGTGTACCTGGAATGTCCTCTGGAACAGTTCTTGGTGCTGGAAGTATAGGAACTGAAATTGCAAATGAAATATTGGAATTACAGAGGTAATAAATGCATAATATCATAATTAGACTTTGAAGTAAAGCTAAGGAAGAGGTATATATGATTATATGAGGGGTGCTCCAGTTTCACWTATTATATCACATTTTTTAGGTTGATCAATGGCATTATGAGATAGCATTATAATCTATTGTTAGTCTCACGCATGGYAGAGCACATCACTCTGCTGGTGATTCAACAGAGAAATAAAAGTGTGCTCAAGGAGTTGTGACCCATGGCTTTTACTGGTCTCTTCTCTGTTTTCTGTTAGCAAAACTTGGAGCAGGATAATTTAGAATCTTCAGGAGAGTTTAAGATGTTATTGTTTCAAATTAGACTTGTGCTTTGTCACTGGGGAGGTCTAATGGGTTCTGCAATGCACAGTCTATTTTCAGTGTTTGATTAATGTGACCTGGTAAAGCAATTAAACATATGCAATTTTAGGTTGCATTCTTCACCCTCTGGAGAATTAAGTCCATCACATCTCCTGAGAAAGTCACCTTCTCCAGCTTTAACTATAAACTGCAGTGATGTGAGTATGCCACTACCTATAAAAATCCAAAATTAAAAGGTTAAYGTCAGATAGCTCAAAGTCTTTGTTTGAGCCAAATTGCCCTGATTTGTGTTTTTGTGAGAGAAAGTATAAGGTATTGCCAACTGCTTGGCMGCTGTGAAAGTCTTTTGAGGGATGTGGCTGCAGTTCTAACCTCATCAAGGCCATAATTTCAAGCCCTAAGGGGCTATTCCTAAGGCTGAAGGCACTGCAGTCTCCATTCAGTAGGTTCTGCTGAAGCTTCACCAATGTGCTCAATGTGAATATAAGTCAGGTGATGATGACTCTCCTGGAATTGAATTGAAACTTTTGTTAGATAACCATAAGATACTAAAAGTCACCTGTAAAGTTTGACAACCTAAATCAAATTACAATTCTTGCTTTCTCTCACTTGTCCTTTTAATCTTAATATTTTTGAAGACCCTTTTAAAAAAAGAATCTCTGCTGTGTTGAAATGTTTAGAATTTTGACTTTGAAGGTATTTCTTTAGTCTGCTAAAAATGTATGTTTATGCTGTTTTGCTAATCTAGTAGTGCCTGTAACACCACAAACTAACATAGGTTGTTAACCATAGCTGTGGAATAACTAACATCTCTTTTTACCTAAGTATGTTGTATGTTGTATATTGCACACTATATGAACAAACTTCTCCAGCCGCTCTTCTTTGAATGTAAATTGTTTTCCTGTTAAAGATAGTTTATCATCTGTCACTGCAGTTCTCATTTCCTATTGAAAACCCCCACTATTCTCTACTAGGAACTGCTTTGACTTTCGCCCTTTTTTATGATCAGCTCTCCCCTGTCTTATCATAGATCTTTCTCCTTAAGAGTTGTTTGACTTACATGTGCTGAACTCTCTAAATCATGTAACATCTCATCCATAAGGATACATGTGCTGAACTCTCTAAATCATGTAACATCTCATCCATAAGGATAATTTCATCATATTCATTGAAGATTCTTCTTTATCTGGGCTTTGGTAACCCTTTTGTTCCTAAAATACTTTCGGAAAGCATTTCACCTTTATTAAYTCTGTGGTAGACTCTACACAAGTCAGGCAATCCAGGGAATCTCTTGTGCTAAATTGTAAGTACGTGTTAAATAAAACAAGTATTAGGATTTTAATTTTTTTTGGTTTTTTTTGCCTTCCATCTTTATTGCTATGATTAATGTAGTTTAATGCATATAGGACATGGGAGGTATGAGGGCATTTTTAATCTCTTAACCAGAATATTTTGACAGTGGCAAACATGATGTCACTGGGAATTTGTAGTTTATGGTAGTAGATGTGGAAAGTACATAACAGTACATTTTGTGCTGGATTTATGTACTGAACACTGAATTAGACCCTCAAGCAGGTGCCACCACTGAAGTACCTTTGACAAATGTGTAAGTCACCACTTTTATTTAAGCCAGGTCCAGTGCTATATGAATTTCTAAAAAAACCTGTTTCTAAGTKCAAAATATCTGTCCGTTGATGCATATTTTTCACTTTCTCTATTTAGTCATTAATAATTTAAAAGCAATCTACAATGCTTCTGTAATGTAATATTTGTGACTAAATTTAGGATCTAATTCTATCCTTTTTACCACTTGTGCTCTTTCAGGTGCCAAATAAAGAATTGATTCAGTTATGTCCTTCAGAAACAGAAGCTCTAGAGAATTCAGAACAAACCCAGGGTGCTATTCCATTTCCCAGTAATGAACCTCTCCTCAGTAAGATTTATTTCTTTTGGGGATATTCTGGGAGTTGCAGGGGATGACATTTCTGATAAATGGTGTCATTTCTGAGTGCAGCACTTTACAACTGTGTATAAATTGTAAAGACATTTGTCTGCCTGTCTGAAGATGAGAGCACTCTGAAAACAGATGTGTTATTGCTGTAAGGCAAACAGCAAAACTGGATCCGTGAAACAAAAAATAACATCAGTAACTGAAGTTTACTGCTACATTCTTGCAGGCCACAGATTCCATGAGGCACTTTGCTCTTGTCTGTCCAGGACAGAGAGATGGGGAGAGAAAAGTATTTCAGTGCAATGTCAGGGAGTTGCTTGTAATTTGTGAATTATTGTGCTTTTGCACTTCGCCTCTTTCTTAGCAGCAAACTGTGAGTAGTTGGTACAAAGGATTGGTCTAAATGGCTCAGAAATATTTTTTTTTTCTTTCCCTTGTTCAGTTTTTCTGGATACAGGATTTCCTGGCCATGTAAGAGGAAAATGCCACCGCATTTTATTTAGCATCAAAGACAAAATGCTGTGAAAGCCATATTTATGCTTATCCTGTATTTAAGTTCTTAGAAGCTTCTCCATCTCCCACTTCTCCCTCACTTACCAGCGATTTATTTATTTGTTTATTTATAACCTATAGCTTTCTTCCAGTTTAGCTATGAGAGGGGAAAAAAAAATTTTAAAAAAATTTAAAACCCCAAACTCTGACAACCCCAAATCAACCAACCAAAAAAGAAAAACACTAAAAAAGAAACACCAAAGGAAAAAAAGTTAATCCTCAAGTAAGTGCTTGGGGAAAAAAAAAATTAAAAACCCCAGTAACATAGAATAAGGAGTAATACTTTTGAACTAAAAGGAAGTCAAGTTAGGTTGGATATAAGGAAGATTTTTTTTAATATTTACATATAAATATATACCTTGAYTTCAAAGGTAGGTGCTGCTTAAAACCAGTTCTGTTTTGAAAGTCACTGTATTTTTCATGCTTCAGAGTGTTCATACCTGCTTCAAATTTCATGTTTTAATCACTTTGTAGGTGGCAATTCTCAGCTGGACTTCGATGCCATCTGTGAAAACGATGACACTGCTATGACAGCTCTGATGAATTATCTGGAGGCTGACGGAGGCCTCGGAGACCCAGCTGACCTCAGTGATATCCAGTGGGCTCTCTAGAGCTGCTTTTGRGACTAAGAAATGTCAGACCCCTAATGCACAACAACCCTACATCCTCAGTACTGTATTGGAGTTTTGTAATGGTTCCTTTGAATTCAGACTTACTGTCTCTAGGTTTTTAAAGACTGAAGCCTTGTTCAGAGAGAGACATCTTCCTCTGCACCTATGGACAAATGCAATATCTTTTTCATGATGGGGAAACCTTGAAATTTTAATATTGAACCATCTGTAACTGGAATGCTTAGAACACATTAGTATATTTTTGCTAAGAAGCTTTAACCAAAAAGTACTGTACAATGTACAGGATTACTTTTTCTTAGTTTTAATACCTAAACCTTTTATTTATTGTTTTTGTTTCAAGTTGTAGAATATTGGTTATMCATGTTACTTTCTATAGAACCTACTGTACTTACATGGTTTGAGAGTATTTTTAACTAGAAAATTTAATTGAAATAATGATTTGCACACACTACAGTTGTAAAATAGGGTATTGTAATTCTCAAATGATGCCATTTGTGATTCCTTGCACTTTTTAGCAGTGCAATTTTTGCAGTCAAAGGTGAAAATAAAGCCTACAGTTCCAGGAGCAACGATTGGGATTGGATCATCCTAACAAACAGAAGAGAATGTTATGTGAAAAACAGTCATTTTACCAGTACGCAAACATGAGAAGGGTGTAAGAAAAGAGCAACAAACTCTTAATTACTATTTTGTATTATTTGTAATGTATTATTAGAGAGGCAGTGCATAGAAACTGAGAAAAATAATGCTGTATTTGTAATAAAGCACTTTGGTTTTGTCCCAGGTTCTTTACTAACTAGAGAAGTTTGGATGGTCTTGGCTCCAAAGTGAGGCTTGCACTGTCTGTCAGTGAAAAAGTGTTAAAATTCTAGAGCATCTTTTATGTTTTTTAAGAGATTAGGAGAATTTTCTACTGCTTGAGTGTGKGACTTTTTAAAATCTCTGTACTATAGCTCTGTCTGTAAGTAAATGCTATGCAGGATGATCTTKTGGGAACAGCTTTTGAAAGGATTGTATCCCAGTTACAGCAAATGACTCAAGAACATGGCACTTTAGAGGTTGCATTATAACAATATAGCACTGATACAGCAAGTGGATCCTTTTATCTCTGSTCTTGAAAGTTCAGACAAATTTTTGTACAGATTATATATCATAAAATTACAGATTTTTCCCGTTTTCTTCATGTTTGGGGTCTTTCGTTTTTATTTTTTTTTAATTTTAAATTCAGGTAATGAAAGAAAAGCATTTGAAGATACCTGATACATGTGCATGTATTTAATGCAGACATTTAAAYGTAGGTGCAACCATAACCTCTCACTCCAGGTGAGGATGGCAGCCTGTTTCAGGTGCTTTTAGCAAGGCTGGAGTTGGGAACAGAYGGATGTGGCCGTCACTAGATGTCACCCTTGTACTGCTGGGGAGCCACCCCTTCCTCCTGAGGACACGATTTGGACATGAAGTGGCTCCCTCTGCTCAGYAGAGCAACTCTGTACCTTATAGGTATGACTCGCTTTGCAGGCGATGTATTTTTGGTGATGGTCATTTGCTAGAATGGCTTCCGGGATTGATTTTTCTTTTTTTAACTCTACAGGCTTTTTT